GTATATGTATATGTATACATATATATGTCAAAATACGCGGTTTTGTTTTATGTATGTATGTATGTATGTACCAAATCAAATATATTTTAAAAGTAAATATTTTATTATTTTTATATAAAAAGTTGCCAAGCATATTTTAAAATTAAAAAAATTAAATTAAATTTAACGAGAATAAAGTTTGAAATAATATTTTTTGGTTCTTCAAAAATGGTGATTTAATTAAAATATTCTAAAGAAAATTAATTATCTTTTAAAATTTATCTGAATTAATTTGAATTATAATTTTAATGTTTTTGTAATAAAAAAATATAATTAAATTTACTATTATAAAATATTATCTTTTATAATTAGTCTAAAATTAATTAATTAATTATGAAATTAACTTAATAATTATCTTATAATTAAAAAATAAGTTATTTTTTATGTTTTTAATCAAAATATTTATTTAGAGAATAAAAATTTAATTTATATATTATTTTTTAATAACATGATTAATTTTTTTTACCAAATATTTAAAAATAATTATATATATTTACTTATTTTTTAATAATTGATAAATTCGTAAACTTTGTTAACTTATAAAATAAACGTAAGCATCTTAGATATTCGGGTATGTGCTAAAATGCGCGGGGTGACAGTTTTGGTGACATTTAGCATGATGGCTTGGCTTTGAAGATTTCAAAACCATACATTGACCAGCCCATGATTCATGATTGAATCTCCTTGCACGATTAATAATCATCATCCTAATTTGCATTACATTTGAGGAGAGATACAGAGATACCCAATAATATACAGTGATAAATAGAGAGAGATTCGTATGTACATATATGTATAATAAGAAAATGACAAGCCATATCCACCGTTTGTTTATCTCCTCATGTTCGAGCTTCTTCCATGGATCTTGCTTCTGATCCCCTTTTCTTCTCCACTGTACAGGTTGTCTATACGATCCGTTCTACCCCAATTTTCAACATATAAATTGCTTTATAGGTCTCACGGTTGACCCCCCTTCTTTCTCTGAAAAAAAAAAAAATCATTAATTATGTATTGATTCATTTTCTTCTCTCAATTCCGTGGATATCCAATTTTCTTTAATTAGTTTTCTCAATACCCTTTTCCTGTCTCTCGTTTATCTCTTCAAAAAGGTTGGCCAATTCTAATATTTGAATCTTGATTTCTGTTTTTCCCTAATTTTTTTCTGGATAATAAGAGAAAGAGAAGAAGAAGGATATGATGATGATGACAATGGAGGGGATGATGGATAAGGGAGTGTTGGATGATATAATAAGGAGGCTTTTGGAAGGGAAAGGTGGCAAGCAGGTGCAGCTTTCTGAAGGGGAGATCCGTCAGCTCTGTGTTAATGCTCGTCAAATCTTCCTCTCCGAACCTAATCTGCTCGAGCTTCGTGCTCCCATTCGCATCTGTGGTCAGCTCTCTCTCTCTCTCTCTCTACAAATATATGTACCGCATCTCTTCTTTTCCTTCTTGATGGTGATTATCACTATGGTGCCTGGTCATGGTTGTGATTTCGATTTGATTCCTTTTTTTTTTTTGTGTTTCTGTTTGTGAGGAATTGGTGATTGAATTTGTGTTTGGAATTTGTGAGTGTAAAAGTTTGGTTTCATTTTTCAATGATCTGGTGATTAATAACGAATTGAAGAAAATTTTCCATCTGGGAATGGATGAATCTGAATTAATTTGCTAAAGGGGATTCATTTGAGCAATTTGTGATTTGGGTAAAATTTTTTAGCCCGGATTGAGGCTTAGTTTTCTTATAAAATTCTCATTTATGTTTGGGTAAAATTTTTGATTTCTCTTGAGGGATGGAAAAGATATATTTGTTGTTCTTATTGTACATTACGGGTCAATATTGATGTGCTATGTTGGAATTGAAAGTGTCTTCTGTTATCTATTACAAATAAGCAGAAGAGAATTGAGGAGAACTTGTCTCCTTCTACTTATAGTTTTTATGAACTTTTAGGAATCTTATCTGTTATACAAAAGTAATATGGAGAAATGTTCAAAGAAACGTGGCTAAATAGCAGCATATCTAATTGATACGAAATCTTTTGGTATTTTCTCAGCATGGTTTATCTAACATTCTATTCCATGCACAGGTGACATACATGGACAATACCAAGATCTCCTTAGGCTATTTGAATATGGTGGCTATCCTCCTGCTGCAAACTACCTGTTCCTCGGGGACTACGTGGATCGAGGCAAGCAAAGTTTGGAGACAATATGTTTGCTTTTGGCTTACAAGATAAGGTATCCTAAAAAAGTTTTTCTCTTGAGAGGAAACCATGAAGATGCAAAGATCAACCGGATTTATGGTTTTTACGACGAGTGTAAAAGAAGATTTAATGTTAGGCTTTGGAAAATATTCACGGACTGCTTTAATTGTTTGCCTGTGGCTGGGCTAATTGATGAAAAAATCCTTTGCATGCATGGTGGGCTATCGCCAGACTTAGAAAATTTGAACCAAATAAGGGAAATTCAGAGGCCTACAGAGATTCCAGACAGTGGTCTCCTTTGTGATCTTCTTTGGTCTGATCCTGATCCCAAGGTTGAAGGTTGGGCAGATAGCGATCGAGGTGTTTCGTGCACTTTTGGAGCTGATAGAGTTTCTGACTTTTTGGATAAAAATGACCTTGATCTCATTTGCCGAGGTCATCAGGTAAGCAAATTTTTGTCAAATATAATTAGGAGTTGCACATTTAATCTTCAACTTCCCTTTTTTTTTAGCATTTAAAACTTGCCTGTTCCCCTGGATTAAGCAGGTGAGGAACGTAGTAAATGGTGTAGAAGCTACTCATAGATGTTAACAATAGGAATCATTAATGGAGGATTCATAAGTCCCTACGGAAAACAAGATTAGTTTTTGTAGATGATTTTCCTTCTGCTGTGAATAATCCAGGTTTATCCATGTAGTTGAACCATCTAATTATTTAATTTTAATATTCTTGTTCAGCATGATGTCAGATAACTTACCTAGAATTAAGTTTCAAGTTGAAGACAGCAGATATAATTGATATCCTGCTACCCAACTAGATCACCAAACTGATGGTGACAAATCTTTCCTCAATTGATTAGTTGTTGGCTGGTAGCTCTTTCACCAACTTAAGCATATCAACTCTAGGGTTGTAATGATTACTTCATCCATCTTCTCAAGTCCGTGTTTTTTATGAGTTACATTGCAGGTAGTTGAGGATGGATATGAGTTTTTCGCAAAAAGAAGATTAGTCACGATCTTTTCAGCTCCAAACTATGGTGGGGAGTTTGACAATGCTGGTGCTCTTTTGAGCGTTGATGAGTCTCTAGTGTGTTCATTCGAGATATTGAAACCGGTCTTAGCTTCAAGCAGCTCCAACCCGCTACCGCTTAAGAAGGTATTCTCACGGAGGAATTTACTTATTCTTATTATATTAATGCAACTTGTAATGTAGTTAACAATCGCGGTAGCTTAATTGTATGAACTCACTGTAAAATTTTTCAACTTGTATCAGTTGTATCTATGATCTTAAGGATCTGATAGTCTCATATCTGTTTCTGTTTGACAGCCCCCAAAAATTGGAAAGGCTTGATATGGCCTTTGACAAGCTTTTTCCTCGAGATTTTCTTTCAATTCAAGTAGGAAAGAGGGGTGAGCTGGGCTCAGCTAGGGTTTTGGTTATATGTTTACATGTGAGCTTGGCAATGGAGGAGCCTTCCATGAATCAAAGCTTGCTGACCATTTGATTGCAAGGAGATTGTTATGAAGAGAGAAAAGAAATCTGCCAATCAACAAAAGATCTGTCTATTTTGTGTGCAGTGACAGAAGTTTTTCCTTTGGATATATATACATGAATATATGTATGTATCCTATTTGATCTCTTCCCATGTACCTGTCGATCATCGAGATGTCTGTGAGCGTTGATCATAGTCTTCGACCTTTTGTTGACAATATGTACATCTATCTAGTATCTCATTTTGTTTAAACTTTCAGGGAATTCCAGTATGGGTTAAATGCCCTACTAATTTAGTTTAATCACAGGCATTATGTATAAAATCACCAAGGCATTTTTGCCTTTCAAAATGGTCATCTTGTTGATTTCTTTCTCATTTGTCTCATAGCTGGCGCATTTAACAGATTGCAGCCATGGATTACGGTGGTCTAAACACAGATTACACCTCAAATTTTTATGAAACAGTTCAGTATTCTTGGTTTAATCTAATCATAAACTGCAATAAAATCAAATAGCGCAAGATAAAACTTTGCTTTATCCTGCCATTAGTTATAACTGTAATCTAATCATAAAAAAGTACAAGTTACAACGGTTTATTACAAATCAAGTCATTAAAATTGAACAAAAAGATAATCAGAAACGCGTAGAAGATCGAAATATACGTGTGATTAGGGCCGAGAAACATTATGTAACAAACCTAAAAAAAATGTTAGCTAATCCTGTTTAAGATGCTACCAGCTACAACTAGTTCTCCAAAGGTCTGATTAAAGTAATATCCTCTAAATAAAACTCAATATCAGGATGTGCTTTGTCTTCTCTCATTTCCACTGTGAAAGAATTGACCACAGAGCCAGCTGATGGCAAGAACATTGTAGGAGCAACCTGTTTTATCAACCAACCAAAAAATGGGTTACCATACAAAAACTTAAAATTTTACCTATTTTCTTCACTTTCTAAATTCATTGGTATTATATGTATTAAAACTATTTTATTAGTACTTAATTACTTCGCAAACACAGACCCTATACATGTTTTCATAAACAAGCATATGGGTAAACACATAAAAATGATAAGAATATTCGTATATGCCAAACAGAATCCTAGTTTTTGATATAACTGCTAACCAAAACAAAAGCAGTTAATGGCAGAGATATGTCATTATGTTTGCTTAATAGAGGAGAGAGGAGAAATAAAACCTAATGATCCTTGTCCAATGCGCAAACAAAATGACAGTGGGAGGGCGAAGGGAAGGAGCAACATAATTTGCTTGTGTTGTAATATATAATTCTTACTCATCTGTAAATTACAAACTCATTTCACATGCAAGGGGGTATTTATCTTCGACTTCCTTTCCTATTTCCCTGACTAACAGTAGTATTTGGGTTCATATTGCCTTCCAGTTTCCTTGCAGTGCGTTGGATGGCTGCTAGCTTCTGCCGCTGGTTATGGCTCTTCCTTTTGCTGTATATTAAAACTTTCATTAGGGTAAGAATATGTACAAATACTTCATCAACTCTTCCTATGTGATGTAATTGTAAAGACACCTGCCAATTCATGTGTTCCTTGAGAGAAAGGAAGAAAAGCTCACGCAACAGGTAATCAACTATACTTTGACATAACTCTATATACTTCTTGTAATTACAGTGTATATCTCTACTTTCATATCTTGTTTATAAAAATTTCTTTTGAAGTACAGGACTTCATATAAACAAGATTGTCAATTGAAAATTTACAATAAGCAGAGGGAAGAAACCAGAAACTCCACAAAATTCAGCATTCCCACATAGCACAATGCAAAATTTAAACATCACATAGATTGTAATAAGAGAATGCCAAACCTTACAAACAGAAGACCAGATGTGAGAACCATCCCTCCCACAGCCCATGAAATCCTTTCGCTGAGTGGCATTTCAAGAACCCACCGCTGGAAGTCCTCAAATATCCCTAAGTTTTCATCTTTTTGAGGCAATTCAGATCGTGAAGTGCTCCATGACTGGGCAATGGAATCTAGACTGGCTTTGCTACCATAGCAGGATGTTCCCCCAATATCAACATTTGTATCGTCAAATATTTTAACAGCAAAACCTGCAGCGTGGCAGAGCTCTGTGCCGTTAGAGACCCATTCGGAAGCTCTACCACAGACAAAGTCATTTACTCCACAGGGCGCTAGAACCTGGCAGGTAAAATACCAAAACACTAAAATAGGGACTGCAGATTATATGAATAGCATAAGCCACATAAGGTGGGGAACAGAACCAGAATGCACAACTTACTTTTGACAAACAAAGTACTAATCCAAAATTAAAGATATCAAACGTGCACCTGAGTCTTCGCATCCATAGAGAAGTAAGCACTAGAGCAAGCATGGAAGACTCCATCACAAAAGGATGAACATACAAGGGGTGGTCCAGGCTGAACACCCACACGCGGATCACAGATTGAGCATTCCAATAATTCCCATAAATGCAAGCACTCTTGGCTGGCTTCCCCTGTAGAAGCCAGTTTTCTAACAGCTAGCAAAGCAGGATGTGTCTGGGCAGTGGTGCAGCAAGTCTTTTTGCGGAACAATCTACAAAGAGTAAGATCTTTGGTTCCTTTGCTCACCTTCTTTGGAGGCCTTCCTTCAAATGAGAATGGGGGAAAGCGACCTCCTTTAGAAATGCATACTCCATCAGGTTTACCTGCATAAAAATGGGATGTCATCACTAGAATCTCTTTCAGCAGGTATTTCTACTTCTCAGTAATACTTCACTTTTCTTAGTC